GCAATGCGGACCAAACGGGAGTTAACTACGAGTACCTGCCCACGAAGACTTTGAACGACCGCGGCGCGAGCACAATTTGGATCAAGTGTGGCGGCAAGTCCATGGAACGAGCGACAGCCATGGTCATGGCTGACACGACTGGAAAGAAGTACCCGATGTTCCTGGTTTTGAAGACGACAGCATCAAAGGTCAAGAAGGTGGTCCAAAAGAACAATGCCGTACGTCAAGGATTTGGGAAGACTGTGTGGAAGGACGTCGAGCCATTACAAGAGCGCTTCAATTGCCGTATCTACGGGAATCCGACGGCATGGTGGAATGACGGAATGAGTGTCACCTTCCTGCGGTACCATTTCGCTGATCGATTAGACAGGGAGACGAAAAAAGTCTTGTTGCTGTGGGACAACTTTTCGGGACACTTTAACGATGACGTTGTTGCGTGTGCGACGGAACTGAATGTGGTGCTCGAAAAAATACCCCCACGGTTCACATGGGTATGTCAACCCGCAGACGTGGCTTGGATCCGTCCAATGAAGACTCAACTACGCAAGTTGTGGATTGACAGCATCCGACGACAAGTTCAAAACAGCAAGGCATTGAACACGACGTTCAAGTTGCAAGCACAAAAGCATGCTACATTGGTTCGATGGATTACTGATGCCTGGTCTGGTTTGTCCAATTCTATTATCATGAATGGCTTTGAAAAGTGCAAAATTATTGCGAAGGACGATGCTGTCATTCAGAGCGAAGAATGCCACGAAGAGTTCGTGCCTGGCGATGTGTTGGCGGACCTTGTTTCAAGCTGTGCTGTTGACGCAACACTTAATCCCACTGATGACGTGGATTGCTGTGATGTTTAAATATATTTCAGATTTTGGTTTTGAAAATTGTATGTTATTCATTGAAAATATAAACTGTGTGAGAAGAGTCTGTAACTATTTATTTATACATGCCCGAACCTTTATATTATTTGGAGTCGTCACGTGTTGGTTCCCCGAACAGGGCCTAACATGTACTAGTAGTAGTTATCACTTCGTCCAGTTTTTATCAAGTTGACAGTACTGGCCCAATCTGTGGCAGGTCAACATCAAGCTTTCAGCATGGCGGTGCCGAGTGCCGCCTCCTCAGAGGGGAACTTCTCCAGTATTGGCTTCTTATATTCAAAGCTTCGGAACCGCCTGACACAAAAGAGCGTCGACAAAATACCTTTTATCAAAAGCAACCACTCAGTGTTCTACGACAACGCCCTGCACGACGAGGCCTGTGGTGAACCAACGGACAGTGAGTGAATCCTCTGAGTCTCTAGGGGAGTGAGGTGAAACAAAATGTAGTATACAACCTAAATCTTTATTGTCTCATATTGATGTTTTATTGCTTTTAACCTATAACCCTACGTGTATTTCCTCTTAAATAAATGAAGGGCTTTTTCCAACTCTGGTCGATTCCTGCATCGATGGTTAGGTAAGTTTCGTGACGGTATTGGCTTTGAAACTGGTCTCACACTCCTGAGGGAACGGCTTGGAGGAAAAGAGGCAGAGTTGGGGCTTGAAGTCGCCAAGTTTATCGAGGTCTACGAGGTTAGCTCGCACATGGAAAACTTGCCGTCGAGGCAATCTAGGAGAGGATGCTGGCTTGGCGTTTTGCGACCATGCCGCTGCAGATAAAATATCATTTGAATTTTGTATCGATAGTTGTTCACTTGAATCAGTGGGACATGTTCTGGAATCTGAGATTTCGAGTTTTGGGCATGTATTCACGGGTTGAAGTAAAACGTTGAGTGCAGACTTAAAAAATACCCAATAATTGTTGAAAATGGCATGTTTCCGTTGAAAATTTCAAATTTTGGTGGTGGTTTGGTTGTCGAGTAGGTCAGCTCGTTTGATTGGAGAAACGTTTACAAAGAGTTTATTAGTAATTTGACGGCAGAATGACTCAGGCACCAGTGCGAGGACTTTGCCGCGCGTCGACATCATCTATCATGTTCAGGATGCCATCCAGTCCTTCGCGCACGTCGTCGAGCCGCGTCTCGGTCGCCAAAGATGAACCGACGACACTAGCGTCAACATCAGCGATTCTACAGGAGGACCTACTGCCGCCTTCTAGCTGGGTGGACAAACAAAGCCGATCCAAGTGCTTTTGTTGCAGCCGCCAGTTCCAGACCCTCCTGCGGCCGAAATACAACTGTCGCAAGGTCGTGGCATTGTTCGACGTCATATAAACTGACCTTTCCATGTAGTGCGGCGAAGTGGTGTGTTCGAAATGCCGCGTGTCCAAGCTGTGTCGGCAGTCGACGACCCCGATATTGTCGCTCAAACATCTCACGACGATCCGAATATGTCTCGTGTGTAACCACAGTGCTGGGCCAGGGCCTTCGGTGCCCCGCGACAGGCAACCTCACATCGTGCTTGCATCGTCTAACGCGCATGCGGCGCTCTCGTCGAACAGCCTGGCCATGACTCCCCACTCGCCATCGACGCCTGCAGCCACGTCTACGCCGCCATCCTCCAAATCACACGCGTCGGGGATATTCACAAGTCCTCGCGAAGTCATCCTGCCAAGTCCGTATGACCTGGACTGGGACTGGGGGCACCCGTGGCCGAAGCCGCCCGCGCTTCCATCGTTCATTGAAAGCCAGCACATGGACGTCCTATACAGCCTCCGCATTCTAGATACCCCCAAAGACGAAGTGTTCGATCGCATCGCCATCGCTGCACGTAGATTCTCGTCACCGTCGTGCAAAGTTGCGTGTGTGAGCTTTATGGATTTGCAAAAGGATCGGCAATGGTTCAAAGCGTCCTGTGGTCTCGCCCAGGCAGGTACACTCCATCAAGTTGGTTTCCACTCCTTGCTGACCACAACTCGTGCTAGAAATGCCTCGAACAGTATCATTCTGCACGCACACGTTGTACTTGAACCAGCCCATCGTCGTCCTCGACGCCCGCCTCGACGAGCGCTTTTGCTACAATCCACTCGTGACTGGTGCCGGCCAATTCCGGTTCTACGCAAGTGTGCCAATCGTCGTCGAAAGCGTCGCCGTTGGAACGATCTTTGTTCTGGACGCCGAGCCGCGTACCGACCACGACGTGGACATTTCCAAGCTGGTCAAGCTCAGCCAAGTAGTGTCCAGGATGCTGCTGGAACGCCGCCTTCGGTTTGCGCGCAAGGCGTCGCTCGACGAGAGCTTCCGCGTCTGCACGACCATGTCTGTCCCGCACTTTGACGAAGACGACGACTACGGCGTCGCGACCAAAAAGGAGAAAACCGTTCGGAGCTACTCGATGGACATGCTGGATATGACAACAACGAGCGCGCATAGCCCCCATCGGATGAGCGTGAGCCGCCTTTCGACGACGAATAGTATGACGAACGACCTCGAGCCTGAACCTCTCAGGCGGGCAGTGTCCGAAGAACCAGCACGGCCTCGCCACGACGGAGGTCGGCTCAGACATGTGGACGTGTCTGTTCCTCCATCCACTCCAACGAGCACCAGCGATGGAACATCCATGGAAACGATGCTACTGACGCTCTTGAACCAGACTACGCTGACGCAACAGCAAATTGCGCACCAGCAAGGGGACTTGTTTGAACGGCTCGGTTCGAATAGCACGAAAATCAATATGTTGACCGAAGCGGTCGCGAGGATGGAAGCCAAGATCCAGGAGCGACAGGCAGAAGGGGAAGACTCATGAGCGGAGCAGGCAGTCAGGTCCAGTAGCTGCGATAGAATGATGTATAAAAAACGCTGGTATTTAGTTAGAGATCGTGGTCGGTCGATGGCGTGTCGGAGCTAGGTAGTGCAGCCGACTGCTTCGATTGGAGATAAGCAGTGATGGATACATACTGTTTCAGTACATTTGAGTCAATCTTGTGGCCTTGTTCACCATCGTCAGTGTCCGTGGGGGCGGCGGCGAGTGCCACCGCGGATGCAGATTTGAGACCGACGGCGGTGCCAAGTGCCTGAGACGTCGTGTCCAGCACGATGATCGGAACGGCGAACGTGTTTGCCATGGACATGATGTGCCACGCAGCAGACTGCACCGATGCGTTCATGGCGAGGACCACGACACACGCTTGGTGGCGTTCGAGGAAACGAGTCACGGCGTTGATTCCAATCGCGACGAGTTTCTTGGGTGCCATTGCGGGCAATATGGGCGTGAGTTCATGCAGGATGCGATCCAATACGATATGATTGTCTTCGTTCTGCACAATTTCGAAAGGAAGCGGTCGGAGGCGGCGGCTAGCGTCGGCAGACTCGTGCTTCCATCGGTCCCTCTCCTGGTGCGCGCGCTGGCGGAGCGTTGCCATCGATTTCCGCCAATCAAAGCTCATGACTCATCTTTTCATCGACTTTATATAATGAATACAAATTTCCAGTTTCAATACAATATTTTTAAATTCACTCTCCACATTACCAAAACGAAATGCCGTCGACACCACGGTTCACGGTGACGCAAGATGACAAGATGGTGTACGTCGAGATCCGTGTGCCGTACGTGCGGGTGACTGATATGGAGTACCACATCGATGGAGCCCACTTCACCTTTTGGTGCAAACCGTATCTGCTCAACCTGACGTTTCCAGACGCAATCGTCGACGATGACCGCGCCAAGGCGGTGTACGACATGAACAAGGTACAATGCATCCATCATGCAGAGCGGCATATCGTGTACTTGGTACTTGTTATTAGGCACTGACTGTAGCATGCAGGAGCATGGAACGATTACGGTCCATCTTCCCAAGGAGACGCCAAACGCGCACTTTCCCGACCTTGACCTGCTCACGACGCTGCTCCAGCAGAAGAAGTGGCGGCCCCAGGACGAAGGTCTCCCAGACAGGTACAACTTGTCGATGATACGCTGCTTCATGACCTGACGGCGACAACAGCTTGCCCAATCCCGCACCTTTGATCGAAGTTATTGGAAGCGTGGGCGAGTCAACTGAGCCTTCGCCAGTTGGCGTGACGCGTTCTGTGTCGCCTTCCCGAGCAAATGCCAATGATTCCAGCTTGCTTTCGTTTGAAAAACCGAAAGAAGCCATGTCGCTCCACGTGGGGCCGCCGACGTACGGCTTCAACAACCGATTTTCGGATTTTTTCAAATGCTGGCATGGCGAACTACATGAAGTCCTTTCGTTGCCGACACCCGAGGCATCGACGCCCGCTGAGCGAACAACAATGCGCCGTGCTTTGGAAGACAATGACTTTGACGTCGAGCGGTACTTGTTGGACTTTGCCAACGAAAGCGAGGACGAATACTTTCAAGCTGCCATCGCGTACGAGCCGTTCTGGGCCAACCTACCAGTGTACACCCCTCCGCCTCCTCCAGCGCCAACTCGCAAGGTCCTCATCGCCGATGTCACAGACGGTATTGCCAACGTGACGATACAATCCGACAATCCCACACCATCGAACGAACCCAGTGTTGTTTTTACTGAGAAAGAGCTCGAAGCGCTGCGGCGACTTCCTCGTCGAGAGTACCTTCCATTCACGTCCGCCGAAGCCGCGATAGTTTGGCACGGCTTACTCGACATTCTGGCTGCGTATTGCTATGACATGCGGACAAACCAAGGCGACCCGACTGTTGAATCCGCCTGGACAATTTCAATTTTGAGCTCGACATTGTCTTGGCTGGACCCGGCGCCGTCGACGACAGATATAGTCCGCAACACCGTACGGCGAATCCTAACCTATCCGTTCTTGCGCCAATGGGCCCTTTCGTCGGCCGCGATCAAAGACGTCGTCGCGGTGCTGCGCCGGGGCAAACGAGTCGTCTTGCGCGTGCTGCTAGCGATCCATGCCGTGTTTGAATCGTCCGAGACGTACTACCTCCTCAACACGCTCTACATCAACGACTACGCAACGTGGATACAGTCGGTGACAGATGCACAGACCAACGACTGGGCCACCAAGCTCGAGACAGCGCACGCTGCATTCCACAAGGCAGATTCCGGGTGGGCCTTGGCTGACATTGAAGCTGTTCTGTATGAAAACGACAAAGAGTCGACCGACGAAAGTCGCAACGACGCATCGGACGACGAAAGCGACGACGACTCGACGCAATGACCATCCGTCGCGCAAGAAGAACTAGGGGCAGTCACCTCATGTCCCTGGAACAAAGCGGTAAACGGGAACGTACCGGTGGCTGAACTGAGCACTCGAACGCATGAACAGAATAGAGAGATAGATTGCTTGTTCTTCTGGGCCTCTGTGTCCACGCTGTCTTTGTCAGGATGGCTCATTTGTCGCCTCATCCTCTTGCGTTTGACTTCGACCTGCCATCAATAGCAAGCACTTCCTCGATCGAAACCGTTAGAGGTAATTATAGGGGGGCTTCCCTGCATCATGAGCCGCAACCAAGACGGTGACAGCAGCTCCACGACGCGGCTGCCCAACATATACGCGTCGCCTGGTAATGTTGGCGTCCAGATCGACTCGTACCGGACCAAGGACATGTTTCACCGCCCGCGATCGACCAAATTTACGACGGCGTTCCACGGGCACATGTTTCAAGACCACACGCTCAAGAACGCCAAGCGCATGCTCGCGCGGGAGCTCCAGAGGTACTTGATCACTCACGTTGTACGACGAACGAACCAACAACGGTTTGTAGACGACGAGACGAAGAAGAGCGGGGCAAGAAGCTCGCCGAGTACCAAATCCAGCGCCTCGAGGCCAAAGTGCAATTGGAGGAAAAACGAAAACACCGCGAGTACTTGCGCAAGCAACGGGCATGGGAAATGCAACAAGCTATGAAAGCAGCGTCCCAACTTGCGTTGGAGCACCGGTCGGTCGTGCGAATTCAATCCATGCACCGTGGCTGGCGTGTGCGACGGGCAGTTCGTCGCCAAGCTCACGCTGCCACAACCATTCAAGCCACTGTGCGGCGGCACCGAACACAGCAAGAGTATACAAGGCAGCGACGCGCCCATCGCGTGCTGCAGGTAGGTGATCGATTGCGATGAACGGTAATCCTCAGCGCGTCACAGAACCAATGCGCCGTCAAAATTCAAGCACACGTTCGACGGCATCTCAGCACCAAGCGACTGGCCCAAATGAAGGCATCTGTTCAAGTTGCTTGCATTCCGCCTAGTGTAAACCCGAACGACTCGCTCTCAGCATCGCCTGCAACGAATTTAATCAACCCGACACCACCACTTCCGTCAGACATACCACATACCACCTCATCTGCAGACAAACAAGAAGAGATTCGTTTCCCTGTCGCCGTGGCGCATGCCCCAACACCACCTCCAGCAAAGCCAAAACTACCATCATCGAACAACTTCGTCCTCAAACGCGTTGGAGGTGGGTTTCGCCGTATTGTGCAGCCGCCACAACTCGAGATTGCGCCCATGCCTCCATCCTCCGCGCGGTCCCCACTGTCGTCTGTCGCTTCCACGTCGACCAAGAAACGCTTTGCAATGCCTCAGCCCCCCCAACGTTCGTTCCTCCAACGATGGAACGAAGTACCGTCCCCTGTTGCCAAGTCGCTGGAGTCTTTCATTCAAGACCCCAACTTGGCTGGAAAGCTCAAAATTTCCTTCCCGACCCCTCCATTAAGCGATGCTGATCCCCCCGTTTTGTGGCGAAGCCGCGACGCCGCCGAGTTGTGTGCGGCCATGGATGCAGCACTTCATGTTGCCGAAACATTCAACATCACAGAGGAAGAAATGCAGCCGCCGCTGACGCAGCAGGATGTGGTCGAGCTCACTACTGCAATGGACGACATGATATCGTTGGAGGATACCGTACCAGAATGCTTGGACCAAGGGTTGCCGTTTGTCGTCCCAGTGTTCCCGATCACAATAATGGAGAAACCACCTAGCCGTCCCGAAGTACCCGACCCAGTGCGAGTGATCGAGCCGCGCGCCATTTCGCAGTGGCTGTCTACGCCAACGTCATCCCACGATGGAGAATGGACGGTATTGCTGGACGCAGACTTCGATGCGAAGGCCGACTTAATCAACATGCCGCTTGCCCCGCCGCCCGACCAAGACGACGATGATCACCGCATCGAGCGGTGTGAAAACATCAGCGTCCTTTCGTCAGGTGGCATGGAACATGCCGACTTTGACGACTCTCTGGCTACCCTCGAGCCGATTCTGGCTGGCCGCCGTCGTCCCAAGTCGATCCTAAAAAAGTCTACCAAAGCCAACCCCACGGCGCCCGTCTTGGCTGTGGGCAGTAGCCAATTTAGCCTTCGCAAGGACTCCAAGCGAGCGCACTGGGTCATAGACGACGCGTGCGACGATACTCTCCTTGGTGCACCGTCGTTGCCACCGCTATCGCTAACTTAATAATCCAACACTGCCCACCCCACCATGGACTCACGCTAAGAATAGCCGTCGTTCCTGTCAAACAGAATTTGTGTCGCTTTACAAATGACTCATGTCGCCGTCTGCCGACAGATCTTGGGCGACATTGCAAACGATTTGCGCGTTCACCTCGCTCGTCGAAAAGTCGCGTCGGAGCTCCAGGCGAGATGTGTCTATCGGTGGCGTGACCATGCCGGTTCCCTCTTGCGACCCTATCCGTTGCGATATTCACCTTTACACACCCATGACCACTTTCGTTGGTGCTTCGTGCATTCGTTGAGCCGAATTCGACGTGAACGCGAGCACAGCCGCAGTGCCGGCACCCGTCGTCTCGTCCATGCTTTGCTCAAAACACTGCATTGGCCGGTCGTTCTGCGAGCCACAGCAGATCGTGTTGTCCAAGCGCGCGTCAGCATACCCAGCATCAAAAAGACGATTCAAATATGTTTGAGTGACTTGATCAAGGTGGACGTAGCGCTAAAGTGCAACCACGCAACGCACGACTCATTCCATTCCCTCGGGACGGTCGCATACACTTGTGTCAAGTGCGGCGTCCGTGTCGACTCTACGTCGAAGAGCTACTTGTTTGTCCAAGCGTTGGACACAGCCAAGTTTGAGTACTTGCTCGTGACGCTGCGCCCCAAGTTGTTGCTCCACTTGGAGCGGCAGAACATGGCACTGGAAGACGTCCAGTCTTTCTGCCGCCACCACCGCGTCGAACTTGAGACCACGGCGGCGTTGCTCCTCCAGCGTGCGATCCTTCTCTTCCTTCGGCGCAAGCACGGCAGAAGGGCGGAAAGTCGAGTTTTGGTCTCGTTGAACGCGCATGACCGACGCCGGCGGCAACGGCAATGCGCCCGCGACCTATATCGTGTTCAATGTCGTGTTCGACGCAAGCCAATCAAATTGCTTCAAATCGTGGATGGCGCACTATCATTGGGTCGTAGCTACGACGCAAACGACAATGTCGACCTGCCTGCCAAGATATCTACTCCAACGCCAACAACATTGCGCGAAAGCATTGCCGCATCAACCCCTGAAAGCGTCGGAAGGTTACCTTCTAACCAAGCGACACCCTCGACAGCCCCTCTGTTGCCGTACTCCAACTTGCAGACTTCTACCGCGTCGCATACTGCGACGGAAGTGATTTCGTCCATCGTGCTCCCATCCATCGAGAGATCCACGCCGTCCCCAGAGTTTTATCGTTGCTTTGCCCCTCAATGCGGGGGTCGAAAATTCCTCAACAAAAAGTGGTATGTCTTGCACATGGAAAAGGTTCGTCGCAGAATAGATCGGCGTCATTCAATTTTCTATCGGTTTATGCAGCACGCAACTACCAAGAAACGATTGCATGACGAAGCTGCGTTCCTCGACCGCATGCGCAACCACGGATTGCCCATGCTGCGGCAACACACGGAGGCCCCACCACCTGTTCCGCAGAAGCCCATGTCCAAGCAATGCCTGCCATCTCTGGGAAATCACAAATCGGCGACGATGCTCATGCAATTGGTTCGCCTTGATACAGTTGCCGCGGCGGATGCCCAAGTCGTCCGTGTCACTCGCGACATGGCTGAACTCGTGATGGGTCGAAGCGTCAAGCACTGCGACATCATCATAGACTGCCCAGCTTATCCGGGTCTTGTGAGCAAGCAGCATCTTCGTCTGGTCATCTCCGACAGCACGTGCGTCGTCGTCAACTATCTTCAGCAACGCTTATCTCGCCGAACTCGTAGGACTGTGGTGGTGGAAGACTTGGGCAGCAAGAACGGGACATTTGTGAACGGCAAACAGCAGCACCAACGTTTGGAGCTGTATGCTGGCGACATGCTAGAACTGGGCCGCGTGAAGCACCGCCCAGAGAGCGGCGTTGTCTTTGTGTGCCACTTGCCAAATTGTACGACATCGACATTGTGATTATCCGTACGCTAGTCAGTTTATCCGGAAGCATTAAAACATTTGCGGAGAAGGCGCAATGAGCCAAGTGAGCGCGACAAGGAAGCTTTTCGTGCGCCAACTTCTGTCGGCGAGGAGTCTACCGGAGAGTAGGAACAAGTACCTGTATAGAGGTGTCGAGCTCATCCGCGCATGGATCCAGGTACGGTGTGGTCCCTTGAATCCACACAGACTGATGGTCGTGAAGGGAATCGTGGTGGACGTTCAAATGCCACGGTTTGCAGTTGACGACGGCACTGGGATCATGTGGATCGACATGCAGGGTTTGATTAAGGCCAATTCATCGCTGAGTGTTCAAGTGGGGGAGTACGTAATGATCATCGGTCCCGTCCTTGGGACTCAAGGCACACCCCAACACGTCGCGCCAGACCGGATCCAAGCGCATCAAGTCATCCCGCTAACAGCGAAAGACGTGCACCGCGAATGTATGTGGTTCCTTGAAGTCATTGAATATTGGACCCATGTAGTGGGGACCCCAACGATCGAGATTGACGACTGAGCACTACGGGGGGTCTATTACGTATTTGAGGTCCTGCCTAGACGACGCTGGTCGTCGTGAGCTTGGCTTCCATCCGTGCAACAGCATCGGCAAGCTTGTCGATCTGTTCAGAGTGCTGACCCAACGTCATAAACATCCTGCCTTGCTGGGTTGCGAGCTGCTGCTGTGTTTCAGTTGTTTTCGATAGCAAGTTCATCAGGATCGCTTCCATATTGGCTCCAGGAGCAGCAGTCTCCGCGACTGTAGACACCGGAGCTGGGGCCGCCATCAACTCTTGGGAGGCATTCGACGTCACCGGTGCAGGAGGAAGTGTTGAAAGTGGAGAGGTCACATCGGAAGGCCTTCGAACTTGACTGAGTCGTCGCGGCAGAGAAGGCGGCACTACCGGAGCTGCGACGGGAGTCTGCTCCGTCACATGCTTCGACGCCGCCAGTGCCGCATTCGTGTTGCGGCGTTCTTCCAGGTACTTCATGACGACAATCGAAAGTTTTACGAGCATTGCAACGTCGACACTTTGCCGGGGTTGGTTGTCGAACACCGCGATCGTGCCGATGACGTGGCCGGTCGGCGCCACGAGCGGGACCCCAGCGTAGAACCGAATCGCGGCATTTCCAGTCACAAGTGGATTCTTGACAAAGCGCAAGTCGAGCATCGTGTTCCACACAACGAGGGGTTGAGTGGATTGGATCGTGTGTGCGCAGAAGCTCACGTTGCGAGGTATCTCGCCCTGCGCGAGACCGACGCTGGCTTTGAACCACTGGCGTTCTTTATCGATAAATGATACGACGGCCAGCGGACACTTCATCGAGTTCGCAGCAAGCGTGCACGCGATATCATACTTCTCTTCAGAGGGGCTGTCGATGATGTCGTAGCCAAGAAGAACATCCAGTCGTTCGTCTTCATCGGCCAAGACGGGAGGTTTAGGCCAAGGATATCGCCAGGAATGGTCCAGTGTGTTGTTGGCAGGGTGCATCGACATCATTGCATCATCGTCGTCCATTTCATGGGCAATGTGCGAGGAGGCGGATGGAGACGACGGTTGGCCATAACAATGGCCGTCCTGGGATCGCGACGATCGAGACGACGCGGTTGTCGAGTTTTCGCGCATACTCATGGTCACGCTGTTGTCAGGACCTTCTGTGTCCAGAAGCACGCAGTTCATGCAGATCTTGACCTCGAGGGACCCTTTCAGCGGCAGTCGCGCCATCTTTTTCAGCAAACACCCGCTGCAGACAACTTCGCCGCACTAAACAAGCATGAGTACATCACATACAAGCCTTGGCGCGGTATCGTACCCGGCGGCAGTGGTGTTTTCGCCGAAAGTTCCCAAAGGTTCGTGTGCACACAAGGCATCGATGCCGTTCGCTGTCCGGGACCCAATTGTCGTAATGCATGAGTTGGTCCACCGTCAGATGTGTGGCATTCGATGACGTCGAACTCTTGGCGGCGCGAGACATCGCGGACGAACTACGGCCCGACTCGCTCCTGGCGCTGCTGGTCGAGTTCATATGTGGAAGCGGTGGAGCGTTTTGAGTAATGAAACCCCGTTGATAACAACCCGAATTAAACGCGTTGCGGAAAGGCGTTCTGCGCGCTTCTCGGGGACGTTCAATCGCGTCTCCCACACTTTAACGCAATGACGATGGGTGCGTCATTTGATTTGATTGGCTGGACGATGCGACACGTCGCATTACGCTTTGGAAGATGGGTATGGGTCATGGGATACGCAGGCATGCTTTTCATGCAATGTTCGTGCACCTGGCCAAGGACAGGCTCTGCACGACGGGTGGGGGCTACGGCAAACATGCCTTGGTCGATCGACATTTGCACGGTCGCCAGATACACCTGTACGCAAGCGAGCGACCGATCGTTGTGTCGGCCTGTGTCTGCCAACGGAACGTCGAGAGTTTGTCATCATCGTGGACGCTGGCTCCACACGGGTGAATTACAACGGATATCATCCCACAGTCTCTCGCCAGACACATGCTGCGGGATCAAGTCACTCAACAACCTTGCTCCAGACGAGAGTACGTGCTCAAGTATGCAGAAGACAGACATGCTGTTCATGGTCCGTATGCACGACGAACCATGGAATTTCCTCGTCATGACGATGTCCAAGCCATCGTCCATTCAACGCTTCGGCCCAGTCTTCATCTAACAATGGCTCCAACATGTACAGTGCTGGCGCTGTCCAGTGACACAATCGGTCCACCACGTGAGCGCAAACGCGGCTTGCTCTCGGTCGATCAGAACTCTCTTGGTTGTGTGACACGCATGTGACAGACTCATGGACGGCGCTTCTACCGATTCCCGCGTGGACCAGCTTGCTGCTGACTCTCCAGTGCGTCCAGCTTGTCCCCAAGCACCTCCCATTGTTGCCTGGCATGGAAGCGGTTAGCTGGCGCTCCTCAGTTTCAAATTGACAAATGCACTCTTGTCTCGTAAAGCTGAGGAGCACCACATCTAGCCCCTCCGTTTTTGACCACACCGTGTGGTCTTCTATGCCATGGTATGTTCCCCACGGATGCATACACACGTGCATAACTCTCTGTACCACATTCGTTACGAGGCAGGGTAGCGGCGTGGTGTAAGCGTGAAAGTTCTTGGCTCAGCCGCTCTCCCCACTTCAGTGTCACCGCACGCTGCAATCTCCAGCCATGCAGGATCTCCAGAAAAGGCCACGCGAGAGCCTGGGAATTGGCGACGATCTTTGCTGCAACGTGGCATCCGTTTGCAGGCATGACCTGCTAGGTCACACTGTCGCTCTCCTCCGTGTGTCCCTGGCAATTCGATGGTCGTAGATTTGTCCCTGGAAATGGATGCTGCACATAGTGAGGCTTTGGATGTGCGAATGCCGCCACTAGAGCAGCCATGACATGCCAGTATTCGTGTTGTCTTGGGCTTGGTCGCGCGACGGAGTCCTGGGCGATGCCCCCAGTCGTCCTCAGGAACTCGAGCGAGGTAGAAACCAGTTCCCAGCCAATCAAATGACCAAAATTCAAACGGGACATTTGATTGGTGGAAACCTTTTATCCGGAAAACGAACCGGAAAGTGCAGCGCACCACGAATTCAACGAAACATGTCGTCGAAGGCCCCCGCCGTCCTCGGCGGCACGACGGCAAACAAGGAGGAACGCGTCCATTTGGACATTGAGGATGGAAATGAAGTCGCCGCGGAAGAGGAATCGGCCGAGATGTTCTCCAACATCAATGATGATACGCCCAACATCACAGAACTTCAAAGTCTGTGCATTAACTGCCACGAAGATGGAATGACCAAGCTCCTCTTGACGCGCATCCCGTACTTCCGCGAAGTCATCTTGATGTCGTTTGCATGCGACCATTGCGGCTTCAAGAACAGCGAAGTGCAATTCGGCGGTACCATCCAGGAGCAAGGCGTGCGCATGGAACTCTCGGTGCAAACACGCGAAGACTTGAACCGACAATTGATCAAGTCGGACACGGCCGTGATTGAGTTTCCTGAAGTTAACTTTGAAATCCCAGCAAGCACCCAGCAGGGTACTATCAACACGATCGAGGTATCCTCCATCCACTCGATGTTTGTGACGTGACCGGTGACGTGAAAGGGCTTCCTGTCGAAAGCCATCGATGGCCTCCGTGCGAACCAAGAAGAGCGTCGTGCTATCGACCCTGCCACGACCCAAAAAATCGACGACTTTCTGGCCAACCTTGCCCTCATGGCCGCTGGGATCACGCTTCCTTTCACCGTCATTGTGACCGACCCTGGTAGACGAGTCGACGCTCCTCCACACTTCTCACTTTCGTCGTAGCCGGCAACTCGCACATCGAGAATTTACACGCGCCCAACCCGGACCCGCAGCTAAAGATTGAAACTTTCTTCCGCAGCGAAGCCCAAGACTTAATGTGTGGGTTGCAGCCGGACGCGTCCCATGCGCACGACACGCCGTCGACCGCGCCGCGTGTGCTACCGCCGCGTAATGCAGGTCTCGACACTTTCTTGGCACAAAACAACAATATCGCCAAGCGCGAGGTAGGACGAGTATTTCTGCTGGACGCTGGTTGACCTGGACCCGTTCGTGCCTGCTCTAGGCCATTCGTTTCCCGACTCAGTGTCACTCGTGCTACAAGGACGGCGAATCGATGATGTGCATCACGGACATCCCTCACTTTAAAGAAGTCATCATCATGGCGTTCAATTGCGAGCACTGCGGGTTCAAAACAAACGAAGTCAAGGCCGGCGGGGCAATCCCTCCTTTGGGGGAGCGCATCGTGCTTCATGTGCAGGTGCGTCGACGCTTACTATATTTGACGCGGCTCAAGGCGATTTAGGACCAATCGTTCTTGGACCGCGACGTACTCAAATCCGACTCGGCCTGCGTGCATATTCCCGAAGTGGAATTGGAAATGGTGGCCGGGTCGCTGGGCGGACTGTACACGACAATCGAAGGGCTCCTTGACAAGGTTTGTGGGTCGATCATGTCGACGATGACGGAGTCGTGGTAGATTGCCGAGAACATCACGAAGGGTAACCCGTTCGCCGTCGGTGATAGCGACGGTGGCCGCTCGGGGCTTCGCGCGTGGCTGGACAAGTTGGAGGCGCTCAAGCATGGCACGCCGTTCACATTGATCATCGAAGATCCGTTGGCCAACAGCTTCATCTACTCGCCGTGCGGGTCGGCCGCGGACGACCCTGACATGACGTGCGAGTCGTACGTCCGCACGGAAGAAGAAAACGACAACCTTGGCTTGCTCGACATGAAGGTCGAGAACTACTCGTCCGAAGTGATCGACAACTTGTCGGGTGAAGCGCTGGCCAAGGTCACCCTCAGCGACAAGCAATCGATGGCTCGCGGCGGCCAAGCTTTGCCCGAATCGGGCTACCATCCGAACCCGAACGCGGTCATGCACCTCGACAATCCTCGCACGACGACCCTGTAGAGACCACACGTCGCAGTATCATAGCAAGTTGGGTTGTATGTTCTTGGATTTGAGCGTTGGGTGGGTGCGACACGAATATCAAAAGTGGCAATGGGTTCATCATGGTCGCGTCAAAGGAGATCCAGCGCTGGTGCGCCGCGCGCGTAAGGAATAGAGACATGGAGACAACATTCTTCCCCCGCTGGGGAAGCGGTGGCTTTGTTTTTAGCTGTGTACCGGGTGAAGCAAGGATTTTCTCTGGCTCGCTCGAGCGATGTTGTGTGTGTGGGGAGCTGTGTCGCCCCAGATTGTTCACGTGCAAATATGCGACGATGACACGAACGGCGGGACATAGTTGCTACAGTGCAGCGCAGTTGAGTCTCTCGACCACAACGTCCGGACTTTGCATGGCGATGGTGACCATGGCCAAGTTGTTGTGGCCACGAATGATATCGACATGAGAAGCGTCGTACAGCACAAGGAGGATCTGAAGCGACTCGAGGAACGTTTTCTCCGCTTGCTACGGATCGAAGCGGCCTCACATGAGTTCAACCAAGAGATATATCGTACTTGAAAGTGGCCCCGGACAAAGTAGGCGCGGCCAAGACAGTCGAGGCAATGCGAGACAGTGCGATGCACGCGGCCGTGCTTCTTCATCGCAACGTCCGCGCACTGGCGAAAGACCGATTCGCCTTCGTCGAATCTCCTCTTCCCCACATGTCTCGATTTCGCAGGAAATTCGGTTCGTCCTACCTCGGCGATGTACTTTGTCGCGAGCGCCAGGTGAAGCCCCAGCACCTTTTCGTGGTCGGTGCCGTACGTGGCCCCAAAGACCTTGAGCAATTCCGTCATGTGTCCATGAGCCAGCGCATGCTGCGACGAGTACTGCAGACATATGCACAGGTTTTCCAGACACGTTGTACGTTCCATCGAGTACTTTGTCTCTCTGGGTCAACAGTTGAATTGGCGTCGAGATTCTCACAACGTACGGCGAATCGGACAACACGTGGAGAGCGGTCTGCAGCAACACAACGCCTTCTTCGACATACCCAGGGTCGACATGGCGAGATGTAAAGAGCGCGGCGGCCAAGTTGCTGCGCAAGATCGCCGTGTCCACGTGAAGCTCTCCAAAGTTGAAGATGTTGATGGACAGCGCCCGACGCAACGATTGAATTGTGTCCGCCGGTCGATCGAGGGACCTACACACGTCATCACGGTTGAACACACGTCATCACGGTTGAACACACGATGAGATTGCAGCGCTTGCCGTACTTGAAGAGGTTGGCGAGCTTGATGAGTGTTCCGATAATCCCTGCGCATAATCGTGAAAAAGCGTTTTGAGGTCGTGGTCGTCGATGTGACCGCGACGCTACCAGGATGCGTTGGGCCAAGAGTGGTCTCTTTGGACTGAAGCGCTCGTAGTTCCAAATATACGAGCTCAGGCTCGCGCTTGATCGCTGCATCGTCGGGGCAGATGTATGCTTCAATGCGCCGCTTCTTCTCCTGTCGCTCTGCCATGTTTGTGCATGGTTAACGCAGCCAACATTACAATCGCATGACGCACGGGCCATCGTTGGCTCGACTGGGACCCATGACCGTAGCACCTGCGCAATATCAGCGTGGTTCATTTTACACGCCATTTCGAGGGCTGTTAAGCCTTCCTAGTTGAGCAACATTTTCAGGGATAGCATGATCGAAGGTAGTCCTTACATCATTGAGGCACTGTGAGTCCGCACCGCCTTCGAGCAGCAAGACGCAGCAATGCCGGGAGCCCCACCCAGCGCACAGGTGCAGCGCCGTGTTGCCGTCCTAAGTCGCCAGCGTGATAGCCCAGTCCAATGGTTGTTGTACATGGTGATGTGGCACCTACCTTGTCCACGATATCCGGGTTCGCTCGCTGCTCCAACAACACTCGCATCACGGCTTCTTGTGCAAACCGAGCTGCGAAATGCAGAGGCGTCCACTTCATTCTCTGCGAGCATGAACGGTTGGTGAACGATGTGGAATCGACTGGTGGTGGCAGGACTCACTGTCTCCTGAACGTTGAGGATAGATGGCTTCTTCTCAAGCAACGAACGCACCCGGTCGACCTTGCCGTTCTCGGTGGCGTACCAGATGGTCCACACGTCTTGTTTGGTCTTCTCCAAGATGGCCTTGCGGTCGCGCCGCCGCTCCAGCTCAACCGCTGCTGTCGCCATTGTAGGTGATGATGAAACTGCTGATGCATCGGCAAGCGTTACTAGAATTTTGGTGTCTCACCTTTTCCATGGTGAAATCATTTTTTGTAAATGTTACTGTACGTACTACATCCAGAAAAGAATGTCCTGTTTCATGCTTTCACGTGAAATTGATCATCATAATTTCTGAATTCATTAAAACCAAATATATGGATAGATTGAGAAAGTCGAGGTTAATTCAATGAAACAGAGCAAACAGCCAATCATTACAATTTGACCGCAAAAAAACTCACAGAAGTCACATACTTGAACTACAGACAACGACGGATTTTAAGGGACTCCAACTACTTCGAATTTGTGTAATTGTTCGAATGTATGATTGGCTAAGGGCTCCTCTGGATACCATCATTTTACGATATGACATATTTGGAAAAGGACATTTCATTTCATTTGCAATTTCATTCTTGCAAAACATTTCATAGAAATGGCTTCAAAAATTCAAGTCGTTTGGATGCTGAAATTGCACGAAAAGTCGAACGACCTACAATCTAGTTCACTTGACTTCAGTATGAGCACAAGATATGTCCTTACACGGAAAAATGCATGTCAACACCGTCTGAATCAAATTGCGCGCGGACTTCCAAGCTGTCATGGACCAACGTATCTGGTTGCTGCTGCTCCGTCTACGAATCCGCAAGCGACGGCGCATGGCAATGATGCAGTACATGATGTATCACTACATCGCGTATGTGCTCAAGACGCCCAAGAGAGACTCCTGCCTATCGGGCGAAATGTGGATCAACGAGCGTATGCGTGGCAATCACGACGCCTTCGTGGAGACCTTCCGTATGCCCCGCTTCGTGTTCTGCGCCCTGCTCCATACCGTCATCACAACGGGCGGCATATCCGACTCCAAGTACATCACAGCCAAAGAGCAGCTCTGCATGTTCCTCTACTTTGCCGGGCACCATGCTTCCAGCACGAACATACAAGAACGTTTCCAACACTCGGGGGAAACAGTGTCGCGCTACCTGCGTCGTGTCGTTGCTGCATTGCGAAACATGTCCCAGCGATACATCCGACTTCCAAGCCCAACTGCCGCAGTGCATCCGGTGATCGCGACCAACCCGAAGTTTTCCCCCTTCTTTGACAACTGCCGCATGGCGGTCGATGGGACCCAAATCCCGGTGTGGGTGCCTGCCAACGAAGCCGCGCCGTTCCACGGCCGAAAAGGACTAGCCATGAACGTGATGGCGGCCTGCGACTTTGACCTGCAGTTTACCTACGTGCTAGCCGGCTGGGAGGGCACAGCAAGTGACAGCAAGGTCTACGCCGACGCGATCACGAAAGGACTGGCCCCAGATGACAAGAAGTGGGACATCATGGACGGCGGATTTGCGTTGAGCAACAAATGCTTGACCCCCTATCGAGGCACACGGTACCATCTCAAGGAGTTTGGCAGCGGCCGCCAGAAACCAAAGAACAAGGAAGAGCTCTTTAATCTACGACATGCACAGCTCCGTAATTGCGTTGAACGAATCTTCGGTGTGCTGAAGATGCGGTTTCCGGTGCTGTCAAGTGCTGTGCGCTACAACTACAGCTTTCAAGTCGACTTAGTCATTGCACTGTGTACTGTCCATAACTTCGCCCGACGCCATGACACTGAAGGCGACCGCTTCGTATTGGGCGCTGAGAACCATGATGAAGAGCAAGACCCCGATCCACGAAACCATGAAGAGCACAATGGGGACAACTCTGAAGCCAAGGCATGGCGTGACGGTATTGCAGCTGCGATGTGGACGCAATATCAAACAACATTGCGAAACAGACGTCGAAGGAGTTAAATGCATTTCAAAACTGATTACTTTGAGCTCTTTCAATTTGGCGCTGCAACCAGGCTTCACGGACGCGACCCTTCAGATGGACAAACGTACGCGCTCTGTCGCTGCTCTCGAGGATCTCAACCGCCGTCACCATGTTCTCAAGCGAAAGCACGTGTTCGAACTCATCTTGAAGGATATCGAGGGCTGGTACCGCCTCGGTTTCGTTAGTCTTGGTTGTCGCGAGCACTTGAGAATATAGCTCTAACTCCTTCGCCGCAATCTCGTTCTGCGCCTTGAACTGCTCGGTCATTCCAGAGGCTGCCGATGCACGATGTCGACGCTTGGAGCCGCCACTGTCGTTTTGTGGCGCTGCTTGTCGTCGCTTTCTCTGCCCTGAGTTCGGCTCTTGTACAGTTGCGTCGGAATGGACAGAGCCGTCCAAATCGACATCGTTACCTTGGTCGTCATTGTCTTGACCGTCGTCGTCCGACGCACTTGATGTTTGGGGCGGAGCAAATGGAGTGACTGTAGTCGACGTACTTGCAAAGCGACCGGTTGCAAGGGTCCCTTCGAACAGTTGTTGGCAGAGGTCGTACTGAGGGAACGGTCGATCTTTCCAAATCGCAAACGAAGGTGGCTTCCCAGCTAGGAAGTGGTCCCACGTTGTTTCGTTGCAAAGCACGCGGCATGTTGTCGCTTCCCAACCCATACCGCTGGTGTTGACGATGCGGGAGATGACGCCGTACATTGACTTAATGGCGTCGTGGCGAGACTTCAACTGCGACATCTTGAACGGCAGGACACGGTCGGCGTTGATCTTCTGAAGGGCTGACACCCACGCTTCTTTCTTGTACCCACTTCTTGCTCGCTTGCCGAACATCACGGACTGGTGCAAGAGCTCTTCAAGCCACACGCAGTCGAGTTCATGTGTCCAAAGCACCATCGTGTTCCGCGGAAAGTTTCGAAGTGATGGACTTTTTCTGGCGTTCTGTCAAAAAAATGATCAAAATCCACTCAACTTTTTTTTGTCATAAAACAATGAATTCTTGGGAAAATAATGCCATAAATTTTGTCGATTTTTGGCATCCAAACGCTGCCAAAAAGTAGTTAGGGCATTTTTTTCGTTTTATGCCATTTTCCAAAAAATTATGGCATAATAGGTGGCATCCAGAACAGGCCTAAGTCAATCATGTGGCATTTTGCCAATCTCTTTGTCATTCACTTAATCTCTGCCGCATGACCGCATAATATATCAATTAATGCGTGATTTGGTGTTTATCTGTAATGACTCGTTGAGAACTACATTCTCTGAC